AGTGGCAGCCGAGCAACAGGCCCTCCCAACACCAGCTCTCTAAGAAAAATCAAGAAAAAAACCTCAGCTGTATGAATTAAGCAAAGAGACCATTGTTCTGGCCTTGGTCTTTTTAGCCATGTACATTCATATTGAAAGCCATACTATCAGAAAAAGCATTACTGAACAGTGTGAATGTCCCTTCTCTCTCACCTATTTCAAGCTATAAAGGGGAAAAACAATTGGTAAATTGCTTAACTAGATGTTGAAGACTAATTGGCACAATGGTTGATCCCTACATATGATTTTCCATTTCCAAGCATGGCCCACAATGCAGCTGATACCTAGAATGTTGTCTCTCATCATGTGTTTCTTCAAATTCCGGCTTAAGTAACATCTCCATTACAAAGCTTTTCTTGATTCCACAAATTGTTATCATTATCATCCCAAATAGATTAATATACATGTAATTTGTATTTTTTTCCTGTGTTCATGCTGATTCTCCCCAATAGAATAGAAACTCCTTGAAGGCAGAGACTTTTTTTGTCTTTGAATGTTCCATCTCTAGCACAAAGCCTAACATATAGTAGCTACTAAAATAATTTTTATTGGATTGAATTAAATCAGAGTAAATTGAGTTAATGCACATTTTTTTCATTTGTCTACAATCAAATGTAATAAGCTGTCAGCTTTGTCCCTTACTCCACTTGTTGTTGTTGTTGTTGTTGTCGTTGATATATACAGGATAGTTATTTCTTCCCAGAAGTATGTAATTATACCAAAGAACTTCATAAAATTACATTGACTTTAGAGCCAGAAGATACTTCAGAGACAATCTAGAGCAGCTCCCCCATTTTACAAATGAAAAGTCAAGAACAGAGAGATTAAATCATTTTACTGAGATCATCCATCTAATTAGGTGGGAAAGCAAGAAGTATCACACACATCTGTCTCATGTATTTTTAATTAAGATGATCATCAACATAAACATTGCCTATTACAAATGAATTGTACATTTGATTATGTTAATAGTTATCATTTTCAAGAAAAGTGCCTCAACTAAATTTCCTTCAAACTATTTCCCAAAATTTACTTCTTTGAAATGTAAATTTTATATGAAATTTCAAGGCCAAAGGTCTCTTCTGAAAATCAGTTATCAAGTCCTACTAAATAAAGAAATTTCAAAGCATACTCTTGATATATTAAGGAAAAATGCTCTCTTGTGTTTTTAAGTGTCGTGATTTTTAAGGCCCCTTCCAATTTTAAATCTGATTATTCTAATTCATGAAAAATGAATGCTAAAGTTCTTCACTCTATTTTACATCTCCATAATTTTGTTTTATGGTAGAGGACTACCTTTAGCAATGCAGATAGGCAACTACTCATCGAATTGGAAGGGTCACTAAGAGGCTGATTGATTTGCCCTATCACACAGTCAGTTAAATTTGAACCTAGGTCTTCCTAACTCCAAGGATAGTAAAGGTGTGCTGCACTAAATGTATAACTACTAAAATTGTCATGAAATGTCTACTGTAATTCCTAAATCAAATATAGGCATTTCCAAGAAAAGTATCCCTTGATTCGTGTCAAAAGACATTTACAAGTTTTTTGATTTGATTTGTTTTGTTTTCAGGCAGCCTGAGACCTGTGGCATAGCACAAGATCAGGTTTTAGAATGGAAAGACTTGGCTTTGTCCTTTCAGTGCTTGTATAGGCATAAAAAGCCATGGTCTCCTAACAAGTGATGTAAGCTGTCTTTTTCATTTTCTTTGCCATTAAAATGGGAATAATCCCTGCCTGATTAACCTCCCAGTTTGGGTTTTTGTTGTTGCTGTTGTTGTTGTTGAAGAATGCACCACTGTGGCAGCTTTGGTATTGTAAACAGGGAATTATTTTTGTACCCAGAAAAGCTGGTTCCATAATTATAGCTTTGCCAACTCTGCTGTGGGACTTCAAGCTACACACATTTCTAATTTGCCCTATTTTCCCATCTGTAAAATTAATGATAACTACTCTGAATGGGGTTATTTTACATGTAAAACAAAACAATGTATTAAAAACTATCAATTGTAAAGAACTAAGAGAATCAATTATCATTACCTACTATTTGGTCATTAATGGCTTTCACACTCACCCACAGAGCATCATCTAGCACTGTTTTATATCTGCTCAATGAATGGCAGTAGCACTGTTGAGTGCAAATGGACTTAGATGTGGAGTCAAAAAACCTGGGTTCAAATCCTGACTTTCCATGTGACCTTGGTGAAATCACTTATCCTCTCTATGACTTAGTTTCCAAATCAGAAAAATGATAATGTTGTCGTAGATGATGTTTGAGATTTTTCCATCTCTCAATCTTTGATTTTACATTCCACTTGGTGTAATAATTATCTTTGTGTCATATTACCACCCCAAGCTTCATGAGGGCAAAACTTATTTTTTATTTAAATTGTGTATCTGCCCAATACAGAGCAGAGTACTCTTTGCAAAGAAACTCAATATATTTCTTTTGATGAACTAAAGCAGCTTCCAGTCCCTGAAATAAAATTCAAAGAGTTGCATGGCCATTGTGTAACATATAAAAAGCATGAGTGGCTAGAGTGAGTAGGCAACTATTATGTGAATAATGAACTTTAATACAAAAACTGTGAGCCAGCACACTAACTCCACTACATTTCTGATTATAACAGCAAAAGGTCATACTTCTGAATCATATATCATCTAAAGAAAACATACATGAGATGAAATTTGAGTTCCCAAAGAGTATTTCTATATTGTCCTCAGTTCATCTTTAAAGGAAAAAAAAATCACTGTCTTCCCAATTTTTACTCAAGTTAATGGTAATGTAAATGTTTCCCTAATGAAATTTTTTTTAATTGTGCTTAAAAGACAATTAAAAGCCAAAATAGCTTAGCCTGAGCTTATCCATACTACAATGGAACGTTTCGTGACTCAGGCTTGAAGAGGTTCCAGCTTCAAATCCCACCATGGATACATATCCCATGTCATCTTGGGCTAGATATTAGCATCTCTGGGCCTCTGTTTTCTCATCTATAGAATAAGTAGTTTAAAGTATCTGCCCTCTGAGGTCTTCCCCAGCTTTAAAACTAAGTTTCTGTGTCAATGTTGTGTTTATTCCCATTATTATTTTTGACTATAATAAATGTTATTCTCTAGATTATATTTAAGTAATAAAAGCATGCCATCTGAATATCTGAAACACAAATAACAGCTCACATTTCCATAGGTTCTTATGGGTTACAAAGTGCTTTCCTCACAGCAATCTTATGTGACAGTACAATTATTACTAGCCCTATGTTACAGATAAAGCAGCTGGAGCTCATGAAAGTTGAATGCCTCTCCAAGATTGCACAGCTTGGAAGGAATAGAGTTAAGTCTTAAACCCCAATCCTCTTGACTCCAGATTTAGTGGTGTTTTTTTCATTATGTGATGAATGTACGTGACTATAAAAATGACTGTGTTTGCTAGATCATTTCATGATGCTGACTTTCAAAGCAGCAAAGACTTTGCCAGTGAGTATAAATAAGTAAAGCAAGGATTTTGGCCAACTTTTCCTACAACGGAACCTGGTAAACTGAGACATAATCCAACAATTTAAAATTGACAAATTCTATTTCCTCATAAGCCAAATAATTTTAAAAAAACAATTTTGATTGTGTTCCTGTTATGCCTTTATTCTGAATGAATGAATAAATGTAAAAGCATTTATTAATTGTTTATAATATGTGAACCATTGTGCTAAGCACTGGGGCTACACGTGCAACAGAAGACAGCTACTGCTGTCAGGTGACTCATACTCTAATAAAGTGAGATAAGAAATATAGAAAGGTTGATCTGCAAGGTAAATGGAAAGACCTGGACATGTCAAAAATACAGTGTCAAAGTACATAGCAAATCCCATTAAATACTCAGGATGTGTCATCATGATTCAATAGCCCTTCTCAAGCAATTAGTGAGATAAGTTAAAACACCAAATGCCCAAGTTATTATATCAAGGAAAACAAAAACTATCTGACCTCTTAAAGTAAAAGTAAAGTCCAAATGTTCATTAATTATGAAATATGGTCAGTATTATACATCTGTTTTAGAACTTCATGTTTTCTAACTGATGATTGCAGCAAAAATGTTTAAATTCATCCCAACTTGGGATTTTTTTTCAACTAGACAAAATAATTCTAAAGAATAACTTTTTTAAACTTATCATAGGATCCCTCACTTTAAACAGTATCCCTTAAAATTAAAAAAAATGACAAACAATTAGTAGGGAAGGAGATTTTTTCCCCCCTTAATGGAAGGGGAAAAACAAACAAACAAATAAAAAGTTTGATTAGTTACTAAAAGTCATTCAGGGCAAATATGTTCTTCAAAAATTCCTCTGTAGAAATAAACAAATCTCAAGAGAGGAACTTTAAAGTATGATTTAGCTCCAGACTTGAGAAATTTTCCCTTAGTGGAACACCATAGAGGAACATAGGTTCTATGTTCCTCATTGTAATGAATAAAATAAAAATAGTTAGGTTTTGGCTTTAACTCAACTTTTTTTTTTCATATACAAATAATTTAATTCATTTTTTATGTTCTATGTGATATAGATGTGTAATAGTAGTAAACCACCAATCAATTAAAATGTTCTACTTTTCAATATTTTTCAATAAATTAAACCCAATAGTTTGGTAATAGCTTTCCTCTGAAGTATCTTGTCATTTCACATAATTGTGACAAACCTCTATTAAAGCATCACAAAATAAAATTAGAAACTTGAATCAAAATACCCTCCTCATAACAAATTAGTAAATAATGCAACCAGAAATAAGCTATAAATAAGGCCTTCCTTAGCAGACTTTCCCCTCCAAACCCACAACCCCTCCTTTGTTGTTGTTGTTAACTCCTCCTAAAAGGAAGTCTCTTCTGGGAGTTTAAAATCGTCACGTGTATCTTAACATAGAAACTACTCATGCAGCTTGTTACTTATGAGGAAAAGAAATATTGAGAGACTTACCCCATTTTTTGGGTAAGCAATCCATCCCAGATCCCCCATTACTGTGCGTGAGTCTAGCAAATTCACTAAAAAAAGAAAGAAAGAAAAACATCAAAACAAGAATGGAAGAGAAGTCACTATTCTCATAGCTTCTGGAACTCTGCCTAGTGTTTTAAGAACTGATATTAGATTAACCATTCATTATAAACAGAAGCATTTTAAAAGAAATTATTTCAGTGATCCAAGATGTTAACACATTTAAGTAAATATTTTAAAAAATTAGTACATGCTGCAAAAATTGAAAAACAGTTCATTCTCAATAGTTATTTTTCCACATGACTTTAAAAAAATATTCATACTTTTTTTTTTAAATAGGAATCATGTTACAAGTCGAGACTATATATTTCTGGGTTAAGCTGCAGCCATAAGATTATGGCTCAACTCATTACATTTTGCTCTAGAAAGCTGTTATGGAAACAATTAGCAAACAATTTACATTAAATAGCAATAAACTATTCCCAAACCTATAACACTTGTTGTGGTATTACCCAAAATCTGTAGTTCAAATAGTGAGTGTAATTAAGAAATAAATCTACACACACTTAACCAAGCCAAGTAAAGTGATTGCTGCTCTTGTGGCTTTTGCTACATTTAAAGGTCTGCTACATTCTTTGGTGTTAGTCATCTCATTTATAGAGTTAGCTATGGTATAAAATATATCAAATAGAGGAATATTCTATTACCAATTATGGTGGCAATAGGGAGAGAGCAAGAGAGCGAGAGAGAGAGAGAGAGAGAGAGAGAGAGAGAGAGAGAGAGAGACAGACAGACAGACAGACAGACAGACAGACACTATAGAGAGAGAGAGAAAGAAGAAAAGAGGAAGAAAGGAAGAGAGGGTGTATTGATTTAATTAAACAACTTAATTTCTTTTTTTTTTTTAACACTATAGTGTCAAGGAGCAAGCTATTATACAAATAGCTGTCCAGAGGTGTAATGATCTGCCTTCATAGATTATAGCATGGCCTAATTAATGATTACCATATCAGTCAGCATGACTTGCCACTGAGAAAATAGGAACTGAAATTCTATTCATAAGCAAAAGGAAGAGAGGCAATAAGCATTTATATGATGCCTGTTATGTGCCAGCTACTGTGCTAAGTGTTTTTTTAAATAAATTAGAAAATTGAGGAAACTAAGACTAATATAGATAAAGTGACTTGCCTATAATCACATATCTAATAAATGTCTGAGACCATATTTGAATTCAGGTCTTTCTAACTACAGGTCTAGCACTCTATCCACTGTGCCGCCAGAGAGGCTATATCTGTGATTATTCTGTACCTGGCCCACTCCACTCACTCAAAGCTCCAAGTGTGAAATCCCTGATAGGACTGGGTTTGAATTGCCCAGTGATACTTCTGTGACCAGCTGTGTGACCCTGAGCAAATCACACAACTTCTTTGGGTCTCAGTTTTTTTTCCCCCATTTGTAAAAAGAAAAGAATTAGACCAAATGGCTTCTAAGTTGCCTTGAAGCTCTACATCTATGATCCTATGCATATATTTCATATCCTCAAGAAGCACAGAGTCTACTAAACTACAGTATGCTTCAAAATTGTGTTCAACAGGAAGAGCTATAATTTGTTGAAACTATCTATGAAAAATTAATTTGCAGTATAGGGAAGCAGAGAGGACAGTCCTATTGAAGGTGCTGGGAAGAAGTAGGTGTGTATCCCTGTAAATCTCAGTCTCTAGCCTCAAAGCATTTGGGAGGAATGACAAGAGATATTATAGGACCAGAATGCAAGAGATTGTGGTCAGAGATGTTTATACATCATACTTCTGGAGATAATTAACATAATGCAGAGAGCTGACAGTCACTCTAGGGACAAAAGCTTACCCTCCAAGGGAGGAAGTATGGCCTTCAGGAAGGAAAATATGTTTCTCCAGAAACATAGAGTAAATACCCTTCACCCTTACTTTTTATTGCTCCACTAGGTGTTTTTTTTCCATCATATGACTACTTTACTGCATTCCCTTGGCATTAATATCTGAACTAAATTTAGATCGCTAATTTTAGGTTACTGTGTTTATTCCTCATGATATAACAGAAGTACTATACAGGAGTTGAACTACAGGATAACCAGCAGTGTGTTTGCCCATCATAATGACTTAATTGTATGTTCACAAAAGGCAGAGAAACAGCTTGGGCATAGAAGAAGATGCCATGGATTTGGAACCAAAAAGATTTCAGAATCTTCACTCTGACACATACTGAAAGGGTACCCATCACTCCTCATCTGTTAAATTAGCATAAAAATATGTGTACCAGTCACTTCACATACTTATTGTGATGAGGACATGTTGCACACCTTAAAGTATATTTAAATATTAGTCATTATTATAGATTTTAGTTTTAGAATACTGGCTACAAGTTACCAATTTTCTTTCAGCCCTTAGCAACACAATAATACCAACTCCTAAAATTTAGATATGACCAGTTCACATTCAGCAGCGTATCTATAAATATCCAGTAGCTAGGCCAAGTTCAATTAATCCATTGGTGATATTATCTTGTGGCTCCACCACTACCCGCCCCAAATTTTCCATATAGAAATAAAGCCTAAATATCTGAGGCAGCCCAATAAAGCATTGGGATTTCATAGGAAAACTAACAAAGAAATACATTATCTCTTCCAGGTCCCTACAGGCCAAATTTATTCACTCTATATAATATCTATGGAAATAATAGTATGACCTAGATGTCACTATTCCTATGATGTTCTTTTTCACTTAACTCAGCAATTAAAAAAAAATAAGACACTTTTGAACGAAATAATTTGCAATTGTGAAATTTAGGAATGTATATCCTAAATCCACTATTGAATATATAAAAAAGGATTGTCTTATTTTTTTTTTAACAATATGACAGTCACTAAGCATTCTCTAGACTACAATTATAGTAATTAAATTGTTCGGAACTGTATATATGCTTGTTGTAAATTGCAATGGATGAACAATGAATATTGATCTTCATTGTACAACTTAATTAAAACTTGTCCTGGAGAAGCCACTAATGAATGTAATTAGAAGAAATGTTTGATACCACAGAGTTACTTTGGAAGACATTAATTAGATAACCTTCCAAGTTGACTTCTCTGTTTCATTGTCTAGTCCTGATAAATATTGGCTATTCCACCCACATAAGGCTTCAGTTCATCTAGAAAAATTGCTCCTTCAGGGTCAATGAATAGTTAGTCTGATTGTTAAAAGAATGCTTAGATCATTAAAGAGATCGGCAATAAAAATGCAATTCAGGAAACTACTCATTGGAACCAGTAACTGAATTGTCAAATCAAATTTTATAGCTACCAACTCTACCCCTCAAACAAAACAAAACAAAAATGAGAAATAAGTAGGTAGTGTTCCATAACAATATTAGACCAAGTTATAACTTTAAAAAGAATATCAATCTACATCTGTGATACTATTTGGAATTAAAGTATTAAAAAGCTAAGCTGCCAAATCTTACTCTTCTGTACTTCTAGAATGATTGGGGGAGGAGTGGATTAGTAGTCTGGATGAAACAAGGTACCGCCTCCTTATGTGTTTGACTACCTTCTACTCATCAATGTCTTCAAAAATTCTTTAGCAAACATCTACTTTGTACAACGCACTGTAATACATGTGAGAATTCAAAGCAGAGATATAACCCAGGCAGTAGATAGATTAGACTCCTTGGAGCCCCAAAGACTGGAATTAGATCTTGAGTGTGATGCTTGCCAGGTGTATGAACTTGTGCAAGTCATTTAAACTCTCTAGATCTCACTTGTCTCATATGGAATGAAGTGAATTAGATTAAATGTCCTCTAAGATTCCTTCTAGCTCTGAATCTATTATCCCATAAATACAGGTCAGGCTGTCAAGGAACTTAAAATCTATTAAATAGGAATTGACTACATTAACCAATCCATATTTTAAAATGTAAGTATACCCTGGCAGCCTTAATCCTTTCTTTTATAGAAAACTTAGTGCGAAAGTTGTTTTTTTTTTATCTCAAATGTGATTTTATTTTTATATGTAATCCATCATGTTGAAATAACTTTTACTGTTGGGGTCAGCTTGAGTATTGTTCCCAACAACGTCTTAGTGTCCTGAGTCTCTGAGTGGTTAAATTACTTATCCATACAGCTAATATGTGTCTGAAGCAGGATTTCCACTGACACTTGCTTCATTCAAAGGCCAGATCCTATCTGTAATACTATAGTCTCTTTTGGTATGAATTACGCATATTAATTGGTGTTCTTTTTCATACTCAGGTATTTTTTGAATAGGGAGAAGGTGAGAGCTGATTTTGGACCATGGGCTTCTTTGGTTGGCATGATTTCTGAGTGGGATTCTGTAGTAGACTTTAGACAGCTGCATGGCAATAAACAGGCAGCCAGGAAAAGAAATAAAAAGACATGATAAAGATTACAGAAAGACAATGTGCCAGGGATAGAACTTCTCTATCTTGTAATGTCATCTATGTCCTTGTTGCATTAACTAACCCAAGTGTCACCTGTAGACTTGCTGATGTGTGTTATTACATCTGTAGCATAATAGCAGATAATTCTATACTGCTTTTAGGTTGGCAAAACATTTTATGTGCATCTTCTTATTTGGGATTCACAACAAATCTTTAAGGTAGAAAGCAAAAGTAAATTAAGCCAAATTTTCCAGATACAGAAAATGAGTGTCACAAGGGTTGTAAGTTGTCCATAATCATATAGATAATAAATGTTGGAGATGCATTTGAACTCAGGTCTTCCTGACTTCAAGCCCAGAACTTTATCTACCATATGAAACTTACTGAAATATTATTGCCTTGACTGAGGTAAGAAAATGTTCACTGATGAAATTGATGAGCATTTATGTTTTAAGGACAAAGAAAGGAAATCATGATTATTATTCTACTCCTTAATGAGCAATATAATGCTACTAGATCTCTCAAGAATGTGTGATTCAGTAAAAAGGGGAAGAAGAAGAAGAAGAAGAAGAAGAAGAAGAAGAAGAAGAAGAAGAAGAAGAAGAAGAAGAAGAAG